CCCGTTTGGAAAAGTAGGTGAGAAACCAGGTAAGTTCCTCCTCATTTTTAAACCACATGAACGAGCCATCTAATTAGTTGAATTAGGGCTCAGTGGAGCTTGTTGTTCCCTTGGACTTTCTTGGATTTGGTGGCTTAGACTTGTTTATGGCCATAGCAAGGTATTTGGTTGAGTGCTGGTCAAGAGTGAAGAATGGCCTAGAATAGCAATCAAGGAGAGGTTTGTGAATGATAAAAGTAATGTATGGGCATGTATGTATGTAGGAATGGGGTGAAAGAGCCATTTGGAATTTAAAAATATAGTTGTGGAGCATTAAAAGTAGCATCCAACAAATATATTTTTTGAATTCAGCACCAAGAATATCGATGCTGACCCAGCAACATCGTTGTTGCTACATCGATGTTCAGTCCTGTACATCATTGTGTCCGATAAATTTTTAAAATTTGTAAGTTTCAACAGCATTTTGGGCACCCAAATGTCGTTTTCTAACACATTCTGGAAAAAGGTTGAAATACAATAACTCCATGTAACATTGATATTGGATACACAACATCGTTGTTATGCAATATCATGTGTTAAACTGATTTGGCATGGTTCATTGCAACATCATTGTAGGCGCATGATAATCTACGTTCTGAAATGTCCCGAGTAAACTAGTTTGACTTGGCCTTTCATTAACATCGCTGTTAGAATTGTAACATCGTTGTTACAACACATTCTAAGTTAAACTCGTTTAGCTTGGCCTTTCACTAACATCGATGTTGGATATGTAACATCGTTGTTGCAACATTGATGTGTACTTTCTGACAATGTTGTTGGGATGGTTTCCCCTAATTTTAGCAATGTCTGCTTTGGGTACCTGCAAAAAAAATTAAAAGAGCCTCCGATGCCCGAGTTAGTAAACATTAAGATGTAAATGCAAAACTTAGATCATCGTGGAATCAAGTATTCTGAGTTCACTACGGATACAGATGAATGACTCTTTCTATAAGGGTGTGTTTGGCTGGAGGGAATGGGAGGGGTGGGGAGGGGATAAGAATCATTCCCTTTGTTTGGTTTAAAAACATGGAGGGCAGGGGACCCAAAATTTTAGCATCATTTCTCTCCCCTCTCCTCGAAATAAATCCTTTCAAATCGAACAGAATCTTCTTCCCTCATGTTCTTCTCTTCTTCTTCTTCGGTCAATTTTTTTCACCTAGTCAATAAAAAATAAAATTAAAAAAATAAAATTAAAATAAATAAATAAATAGTTTAACATGTTTGACTGTAGACCTGGCAATCGGGTTAATCGGTTCAGCTCTGGTTTGAGTCTTTTTGGTTCGGGTCACATTGGAATATATGTTATAATCGGTTCAGGTCGGTTCGGTTTGGGTCTGTTTGTTCTGGGTTTATTTTGGTTTGACTGGTTTTTGGTTTCAGTTCGGTTTCGGTTTGGGTTTATATCGGTTCGGGTTTGTATTGGTTCGGGTTTGTATCGGTTCGAGTGTATATCGATTCGGGTTTGTATCAATTTAGGTTTATATTAGTTCAAATATATTTTAAATATTTACTAATAAATTAATAATATCGCATAATAAATTTAATCAATTTATGAAATACCCCATAGTTATTTTATTTTTTAACACGAACGTACATAAAAAATAACACTTACATAATTGACTAATTATTTACAATCTAAAGTTATCCCTCCTAAAGTTTTCAGTGCGATCTTTTTAGTTAATATTCAACATTTCCGCTTCGTACTTTCTTTATTTCTATTTAACTATCAATTTCACTCTGTGTGTCAAATATTTGAATAATTATATATAAAAATATATAATAAATTAAAATATAGAGAGTAAAAGTTATTACCAAATTGTTGGTATCAAAAAAACACTTTAAATGTATTGTTTTTAATATTTTTTTCTAATATTTTTGAAGAGACGATGTTGATCAAACTTTAAGTTCGAAGGCGATAAAATACAAAAACACTTTAAATTAAGTTATAAAATACAGAGTGAAAGATTTGTACATGAAAGTAGGTACACGATTTGCACCCATAATTTAAATATATTTTTTTAGAAACATATCAACATATGTAAAAATATATAGTTTATTCTTTTTTCTTCAAGTTCATTTGATAAATTAAATATTAATGAATTTGATCAATTTTGGGTCTAATCAGTTCCGGGTTTTACCAAGTTCGGGTTTAATCGGTTTGGGTTAAATCGGATGCAGATCTGAATCGGCTTTGAATACATTCGGTTCGAGTTCAGTTCCATTCGGATTATTTCGGGTGTTCAGTCCTATTTTGATTCTTCTGTTTTCGGGTCAATTCGAGTTCGGTTCTGGGTTATTCGGTTTGGGTTATCGGGTCCGGGTCAGTTTTGTCTGGTCTATGTTTGAGGAACCAAGAATCATAAACTTTGAAATTATTGTTAAAATAAAAATGATATTTTTGACGAATGAAATCTTATGTGATGTCTGACAGTAAGCTAGGGTGTTAACACTCGACGCTAGACCGCTATTTATTACGGAGTATTTATTATGATGATATTATTGATTAATGATTATGATGATTAAACCTTGATAAATATTCTGATTAAATGATTATTATAATGAATAAACCATAATGAAACGTCATTGATAATAATTTTTATTAAATATTAATTATGACGATTAAATGGTTGACCATGTTATTATGATGATAACGATCTTATTTTGACAAAATAATAAAATATGGCATCGAATGAATTAAACGTAAGAATGAAATTGTGAAATGATATGTTCATTTGATAATCTCAATTTTAATAACAATTATGAATTAATGAACCATGATTCAAAGGAATAGATTGATAAGCAAGAAAATAATGTGTATTGTTAAGGCTATCTAGAAAACCTCTATGATAAATCATTGATAAGAATTGACCTGTGTGTGTAAATATGTATAATCGGTGATTTAATTTGGATAAAAACGTGTAAAAGGGATTCATAGACAAAACTAGAGGATCACTCGTTTGGGAATATCTCGATCCAGCGATGATTAATCGCTATTTTGTTGTTGCCTTAACTGTCTACAGTTAAGCGTTAGGAAATCTATTGCCTTAAACTAATCATAGTTTAAGCGTAAGGAAATCAATTGCCTTAAATTAATTATAGTTTAAGTGTCAGGAAATTTAATGTCTTAAACTAATTATAATTTAAGCGTCGGGTTGTCAATTGCCCTAAACTAATTATTGTTTAAGCATCTAGCTACTAATTACTCTTTAAGAGTCTGGTTATGGAAATATGGATTTGGCCTTAGACTAAAAATAGTTTAAGAACTTTGTTATGATATGGCCTTAGACTAAGAATAGCTAAGAGCGTTATTACAGTTTGGCCTTAGATTAAAAATAATTTAAGAGCACTGTCAGACTAATGAATATTGAATATTTGAATTGAATAACATGTGCATTGAACAATATCAAAATCATGAATGATGAATATTTGAATTGAACACCATTCTACAATGTTCATTAGACATTGTTCAAGTAAATATCCACCGCCACTAGACATTGTTCAAAGTAAATGTCCACCGCCACTGGAGATTGTTCTTGCTACTAGACATTGTTCAAGTATTATTTTAAAAAATTAAAAAGGATTAGGTACTACGTTGGGAAAAGACATATGTTTCCGTACTATTTAGTACAAATTTCACTATTATTTTTATTAACAAGTTTTTATTTTAAAGAATGTTTTCACTCAGATCTCACACAAATTTATTTTAATCATTTTAACAAAATATTATTGATATTTAAATTACATAGAAATTGGATAAATTTCTTGTTGTGCAACGCATGGGTACGAATTTAGTCAATGTCAAAATCAATGTGAAGCTCGGGTTTCGGTTTTATCGCCCGAGACTATGAAGTCTCCTTTATTGCTGCAAAAAAACTTGGCTTGTAGGGGACATTTCAAACCTAGAAAAGCGAAGGCAGTTGCGGTAAAAAGGCTTTGAGCTTGATCAAGAGTAAAAGTTGGAATCATGTCGTTGTGGAAACAGATTGCAAGGAAGTATAAGCTCACTACTTCCAATGTTTGGTCTTATTTTAATTCCACTATCGATGGTTGTAAGTGTTTCTAGTATCTTTGCAATGGAGACCTTAGCTTTAGACTTACCTTTCGCTATGCAAATTTACTTGTACGAACAACACATTCCCATGAGAGGATAGGGTAATGGATGGGTTCCCCCAGGAATTCCTTGTGACGTCTATTTAATTTAATCATGTTTTTATTTTTTAAAAAAAAAAATCTAATGGTCTAGCATATATCATCGGTATAACTAAGTGGGAGAGACCTATAGAAGGCTCTTCCTCCAATGAGGCTCACGCCAAGAGAGAGATTCATTTGTTATCAACATTTTTCTACATTACATTATATAATATGTAGTACTGTATAAAGTTAAATTTTCCCCATGTTATAGTTTTGTGTTATTTAGTGTGTTGAGTAGATTTAAGGAAAAAGAAGTGTTGAGTGACACTTCAAAAATTTATAAATCAGTGAATCGAGTAAACGTCTAATATATCTTCCTCAACAAGATTTATTCCACTTGAAGTTCATACAGATTACAATAACTTTTGTAATGGCTTTGACTATCCAATTTGGCCCCTGATATGCCAAAGAACTGATAGTGCGAAAGCAATGTGCTAAATGAAGGTGAAAAATAAATGGGATGGTTGAAAAAACGGTTGGAGAAAATAAAGATGTTAATATTTTTAATGGGTTAGGTAAACCAAAAATAAAAATGAGATTTTAGTTTTTACGACACCAATTATGGGAAGTGAAACTTTAGTTTTGGGAAGGGGAGAGTCAAGAGTGTATGTATTTACTTCTTTAGTTCTTTTATATTTACAATGTTGGACAAGAGGGGTGCAATCTTTAAATTAAAATTAGTACTATTTTCAGAACAGCATATTGGTGCTGGTCCAAGCCTCCTAACATAGCTAAATCTATACACATGCTTCATATATACAACAAAGAAACAAATGAAAACAGCTTCATTTTAGCTCTAAGATTTACACAAAAAGTTTATGCCAGACGGTTCATTTCCTTGGCCCCGTCCATGTCCCCATAATCAGTGTTCATAATTCATACAAGTCAGCAAAGAAGGGATCATTACTCGCTTCTTTTGCTGATCCATAACTGCTCAAACGCTTCTTCAAAGAGCGTAATTCCCTCTCGTCTTTTGTACTCCGTGCCTGTGTCACAACAATCATAAGTGTGAGATGAGCAAATCTAAGTTCTCCCCTCTAACCAAAACTGGCATTATGCAAAAAATGGCTAAGTTAAAACTAATTACAAGCTTTATTATAATCTTGAAACAATGATTTTGCATAAGTACTACAAATCTGTAAATTGTACCTTTGAATGTAATTGCTAGAAGGAAAAAGATATATTTAACAGACATGATTTTACAATGTTGTGGCGTATTTAGGACATTGCTCTCAGCAAAATTACTAAAAAAGGGCAATATATTTCATACTAAAAGTGAAACTTACATATGATTTCTTCAACAGCAATATGTCGATCAGGTACTGCACCCATAAAACATTGGTCTTGGGGAAACTACATATCATGAAAGATGACAGATACATAGTAAGTAAACTGTAAGAAATTCAGTTTAAGGCCCTTATATATATGTTAATTGACATGAAACCAATTATAAGTAGTACTGAGTGCTTTATCAAGGGTGTTATCATTCCATGGAGTGTTTTTTGATTCTCGTGGAGAAAATTTAACACTTTGTTACATCCATACCTTCCTTCCCAATATTCTCCCGTGACTTCTCTCATGTTTCTGTAAGTTTCTGACTGCAAGTAGAACAAGTCAATGCAAGTAGAACAAGTCAAGGTACCTAAAGAGATAAATTCATTGCATTCATACCTGTTTATCACCTTTAGGGCCTTCGAAGAGTTCAGGGTCTGATGACAGATCCAGGAAAAGAACATCTTCACCTGAGGAAAAGGACGCCAACATAGCTCAATTTTTTTCAGTTTTTTTTTCTTATAATAAGTGGGGGAAAACAAATAAAAAATTAGAGACCTCTCTTTGTGTGCTCCACTTGGGCACTACAATTTTGCCTTTTGCCTACTTTTGTGAGCACTTAGCCACTTAACTAGTTTAAATTGGACCAATCGGCTTTAGTTTTTCACAATATAAAAGGGTGAGTGCAAACAAGAGAGATCAGTGGAGTAAGAGGTGAAGGTTAGATTTAAAAGAAAGATGCATTTTCTGACATGTAACTGAAGAGCAATATCTGGAATTCACCTTACCCATGTTCCATGTAAGTTTAAACTTGGGGGGAAGCTTCTTCAGTTAAAGGGATATGGGATTCACTGACTAAGGTGTTGAGCGACAAAGTTACAGATAAGATTGCTCTGATGATTCTGATCTTCTATTTACAAATTTTTTTACTACGCTGCCTGTAACCTTGTAATTATCTTTCTTTGATGATTTCAAAACCACCTTTCTGGTCCCGATTTGACACCACATGCCGCAACCAGATTCACGAGCTGCCGCTGACTGATGTCTCGGGACAGTTTCACTACTTTCATTTTCTGAACTTTTAGTTCCTATTCAAGATAAAATGCTGAATATGCATGTGGCTGGAGGAAGAGGTAGACTTAAGAGGACTTGGCAAGCATTGATCAAGGGAGACCTTCGCATGAACAATCTCACAGAAGATATGATACACGATACGGCGCAATGGCATTGTTTGATCCATGTAGCCGACCCCACCTAGTGGGATAAGGCTTTGTTGTTGTTGTTGTTTGTTGTTGTTAGTTCCTATTCAACAATCAACAGTTCAAATGGCCTCCAATTATTCTACTTTTGTAACAGCTTCTAACATTATCACCAAAAGTTCGGCCGACAGATCTATGAAACTATCAGACATAAGCTGTTCATGTGGAAATGTGGTTCAAAGGTTGAACTTTTCCAACATATCAGTCATACTGTACATCAAGCACATTCTGGAATGCAAACCATATTTCAAGACTTTCATGGCCAAGTTGATGCTCTCCTATTTGAACACAGCAGTATTCAATTGATTGAACAAGGCATGGAAGTATGGAACAACAGTTAGCCCAAAGACAACAGCTAATGTAAATCATGTTTTCATTTGCATCTAAATTTTCCATTTTGCCAATATTAAAACGAACAAGACTTAGATATTCAAGACTTTCTTGGCCTAGTTGAACCTCTTCTATTTGAACACAGCAGTATTCAACCTGTCGAACAAGGCATGGAGCAACAGCTAGCCCAAAAACAACAACTAATTTAGATATTAGCCTTAAGCATTCTACATCTGGAGTTTCAGTTCATACATTAACAAATTCCCTGAAGTCCCAGTATTGCAACTAGGACTGATGCTTTAATTGAAATTCTTCATGCACCTGCTCTCTCTATTGATCAACATACTGGCAAATCTACTGTTCTTGCTTTACAAAGCCAAGAGATAGGCAACAAAAGTAATCCCAAAGTCTAAAGTGTGAATTATTTGTCAAACTTGGACATACTAATGATAGATACTGGAAACCACCAGTAGACCCCCTTTTCCTATCAATTTTGCTCAAACTCCTCAAAGCATGTACTCTCACAGGCCACAGAGATCTCACTACATGAGTATGAATCATCCACTTAATGTATATGAATCATATTAAAAATTTAGAACATCCAATCTGTCTGGTTGACTGGTTCGTCTATGGGATGTGTCTCAAACAATCCATCGCTGGGATCATTGATCCTGGTAAATGTGATGAAATCTTTTATAAATATTTCTAAGCCAACAAACTTGTCATTAGTGACTTTTTCAAATGTTCTTCAAACACCTTCTACTGATACAGAGCCCTTTCCCTGACATATTTACAACTTAAATCATTCTCATCTTTCCCTACTACTCCTATCAACCTTGTGTCTCTAAGCAAACTTACTCAATCTCACAGCTGTTCCAAAACATTTTGTTGCTGTTTCCGTAGTTATACAGTAGGATTGGCGCCAGATGTGAATATGAGGGATTCTATCAAATTCACCAGATTCAATTGCATGTCTATCGCATCAGTAAATACTTAAAATCTTGGTCGTCCCGTTTTTTCTAAATTCCAACATATGGTTCAAGGTCTATAATGTTATTTTCCTTTTAATTGTGAGACTTGTCACATTGGAAACCAACCCTGTAAGTCTTTTCCAAAGAAAGTCAATAAACAGGTTGGATATCCATTTCATTAACTACATGCTAATGGGTAAGGTCCATATTGAGCTAAGTCTTCTACAATAGGATTTGGATAACAATCAATGCATGAAGCTTCTTAAGAATAAGAACAGAGCTTCGATAATGACTGTTGAGAGATGAATTAGTTAACTAATTCACGATGATGAAGAAGAACAGTGATGAACATAGAGAGAGAGAATGAGATTGGATTATAAATCTGAATAAAGCTTGTTTGCATGGTAGTATTTAAAGAGCTTAAAAGCTCTAAGAAACTCAACAGACATCTAGCAACTTTTAAGTTTAACTACTCGAATCCCCTGTAACATTCTTTCCCCCTTAAAGGAAAGCACTCCCCCTGGTTCTATTTGCATGGCAGTAAACAAAAACATTAACATCACAAGCTCAGATCCATTGCTTCTTAAAAATTCAGGAAACTTCTGTTCAATCTCATTGGCTTCTCTCCAAGAGGCATCTTCAGTACTTTGTCCTTCCCATTACACCAGATCTTGAACAGCAGCATTATTGCCCTGTTTGATCATTATCCTCTCCAATATAGCAGTAGGTTTGATAGGAATAGCTATGTCTCTCCCTTGTAGCCATTCTGGAATGTGTGGCGGTTTAGGTAAAAAAACCCTTGAATGCTTGAGTTGGGACACATGATGTGTATGGTGAGTCAGGGCAACTGCAATTTATAAGCCACTGGACCCACCTTGGCTTGTACTTGAAATGGCCCATAAAATTTAGGAGCTAGCTTTTGATTCAATCTTGCATGCACTGTGTTCTGTCTGTATGGTTGCAGCTTCAGCCAAACCCAATCACCCACTTTCAATTGTCTTTCAGATCTATGTTTGTCTGCCTGAGTCTTAATTCTGTGTTGGGCTTTTAACAATTAAAATTTCAACAGTTGTATCATGGCGTCGCATCTTTCAAGGATCTATCAACAGCCACCACTTTAGTGTCACCTGGCAGAGTGGCAGGTGGGGTAGATGAATGGGAGGTGGCTGATTGAAACTACGGAGTATTTCATAGGGTGTCATCTGGTCAGATGAATGAAAGGAAGTATTATACCACCATTCAGACAAGGGAAGCCAATTGTTCCATTCTTTAGAGTGTTCACTGCTCATACACCTTAGATAAGCTTCTAAACACCTATTAAATGAATATTTAGGGTGTTGACACTAGTTTTTAACTTGTTAAAATTCCGGTGGACCGAGAACAACGAGCAGAGTATCGTGTAAAATTAATCACTTGCATGTAAAGTCAGGATCCACTCTCTAACCCAAAATCTTAAGCTGATGGGTAGGGCTTCACCCTTCTATATATTCTAGTGGTATTTTTCTTTTTTTCCGATGTGGATGCTAGTGATGTTTAATTACTTTTTACGATGTGGGAACTCCAACATAACTAAATGAATATTTACTTTCATAAATCATAACTCTAGTTTTATTTACTTTAAACCATAAGTGTTTAACTAAATCTATGTTTTAACTTTTAACATCTTAACTGTAGAAAATTTTAGTTCCTAAAATATGTAAGACTAATTGCAAAGAGAGGGATTTAGTGAATTTTTCCTATATTTTGATAATTAATTAGGTTGTTTCCTCTTCTAGGTAGATTTCCTTTTTATAAACTGGTGTCCCTCAACTGAAAACAATAAATACAAGTTACACTTATATTTTAAAAAAACAGATCCTAAGGTTTATGATCCTATGAATCTTGCTAGCTCATATTAATGCCCATCTATATTTGATTTGACTTATCCATTTACACTTTTTTTTAATTTTAAGATAAAGTGTAGTTCATTTCACATGTCTCAGGCATCCATTATTACAAAGCACTCACACTTCAGTAACGTATTCCCCTGCATTAGCTTTTCCATGCAAACTATTTTTGCATACTGCTGCAACTTTTATTTAATTGTTGTGTTCTTCATACGGAGATGGTGAGTGTATGATCCTTGCCTCTCGGTAATGAGTTGAATTTCGTAATGAAAACACATAAAAATGCAACAAACAAGATCAATGACATGTCTTACCTGTATTTATCCTCGAGAGAGTGAAGTCAATTATTGATATAAGCAATCCAAATGTTCTCACATGTATTTGTCTTCCTTCAAGATAGAATTCCACAGTAGAAGAGCCTTTTCGAGTCAAAAGGATGTTGCCCCTGATATTTAAGATACAACATTTTCATAGAGGCAATGGTGCAATACACAATTCTAAATGGTTGTTTGACTGTTGAAGGCTTGAAGCAAAGTCAAGATAGCAAAACTAACCAGTGTAAGTCTCGATGCTCAAATTCATATGCTGCTTCAGCTACTGCCAGAGCAAGAGTTACCTGGAAGGTGGGTGAAGCAGTTACGGAATACTAAAAACATATCTGAATCCCGTTAAGAGAATAAACTATCCGTCTCTAACCTGAACTAACAGACTCCGAGCTTCATCATAATTCAAAAGAACAAAGCTCTCAAGATCCTTGCCTCCATGCTCTTGAACAAAAATAACATAGCACTGAACATGATTTATGTACTAGCTTAGTAATAGAGTATTTTGTGCAAAAGACCATCTGCAATCATCTTCTATGTATACTTTATGCTGAATTACAAATTAGTATAATGTTATCCCACGTGGGTTTAGCACATGATATCAAATGGGCTTAGTGAAGTGTGAGATTTGGGTATCATGGTAGTATGGTACACGGGGGTTTGTAACGTGGTGTTGGAGTTCTACCATCTTAGGTACCTATTTAAACCCATCACACACACACACACTATTATCCTCGTGTTTACTATTCGAGGCTTCCGATAACTTTTGCTTACATATGCACTTTCATTGCTCATTTGGTAAAATAAAATAGACATGTCACCACTTACTTTGTAGAACTCTTGATGTAGTTTTTAAATATGTAAGATGTACTTTTTATTTTTTTACCAATTAGTAAATAAAATCATTTTAAGATATATGAGATTTTACACTATGAGAAAATAAAATTATTTTATTTCTATACCTATCCGAACGACGTGCAAAATCCCATGACTTTTAAAATGATTTTATTTACAAACTGGTTTAGGAATAAAATATAAAACTTACATATTTAAATACTACATCAAAAGTTCTACAAAACAAGAGGTGATTAATGAATACATGCAAACAAACAAGTGTTATTGAGAGGCCAAAATAGTAAAGAGGTAAATCATTTTGGGACAGAGGGAGGTAACAATTAATAAATTGTGTAACAATTCCTAAATCTCTACTAGCATTGGGATTAGTCTTAGGTGGGCACCTAATCGCTTATGTGATGTGAAGGTTCGTTGGCGGTCTTGTCGTTGTAACAACTATGATGATATCACATGGGCTTAGCACATAGTGTTAGATTATGGTGTCATGGAACACTTGGGTTTGTCACAGGGTATTGGAAAAACATTATCTTATGTACCTATTTAAACTGTGTCTTCTCTAACTTGAGCAAGGGGTCCTAGTGTAAGAGGTAACGAGAGAAAGGCATTGTATGTGACATCGTCGATGTGGCATCTGGGGCTGGGCTACCTTCCCACACGACAAAGGCATTGACCCAGTAACCCTTTGGCCAGTTTTTTCTTGGATTCTCAGATCTTTCAGTGACGACTTGAGATGGCTAGCATAGAAAGTCAGTCGTTCATCATCGTTGAAGGCAGTCGACCATCCTCTGCCCTCGCCGAAGGTAATTGATAGCTTTCGTCACCCATTCTCTCTTCTCCATTTGACTCTTCCTTCCCTTTTTCATTTTACTAAATTGTGATCAGCTTTGTCTTAATTGTCCAGGTCTATACACAGATCTGAGTATTCTCATCTGCCCAAGTCCTAGGTTACCCCGTCTTTTTCTTTACTCATCAACTAAGTACGGAGTAATAAATTAAGACTTATTAATTAGTGTTCAATTTTTATTATACTCTGTAAATGGATATTAGGTATGTTGAGCATGAAGCTTATACTTGATGAATAACACTATGTCAATAACTTATATGAATTATTGTACATTTGTATTAATGTAAATATATTCAGTACTAACTACTAGTCGCCTAGATGTCGGCTAGGCTTCCTGCTGGTTCATTGGCACCTTGCATTGGTGCTGTGATAACTATGTTCCACACTCCAGTTAAAATTGAAGGAAAAAAGAACATGGCCTTACTAGCAAGTAAAACAATGAAAGTTCTAGCTCTCTGAGAAAAATGTCATAAACAATAAAAGCAGCAGAAAACATTACTTGCTTATCTGGAAACATCTTAGGGTTGTCATTTAATGTACCCTGCTTCACTTCCCAGTCTTCCCATGCTCTTATCAGAGAAGCATCATATTGACCTTGGCATACCCTCATGCTGTGACATAAAGATGTGAAGATTATATTATTTCCAATTCTCAGAATTGTTAATGCATTTTCAGTCAACATAGTCCATTTAGGCACTTTCAAGACATGCTTGAAGTTGAATGACTGTTCTCTCCTAATCTACATCCCCATTGCAAAAAGTCACGTCAGATTACATGAATGCTGATTGCTGAGAGTGAAAAAGAGAATCCTAAAGTATTGAACAGTAGTCAATAACCCTATCCTAGAAATGATTTGCCAAGCTCCGTTTCCATATCTGAGATTTGAGTGTTGATTTATCATATTCCTCCTTTATTGTAGATAACCCTATCCTTAAAAGATTGAACAGTAGTATATAACCCACCGCCCAAAGGAGACTAAAATTCTGAGATTTCTAGCAATTGAATATAAATCATAAATCATAAATCATATCAGAAACAAATAATTTATTTGGATATGCCAGTAGACCACAACGGCAGAAAGCTTACTCAATCGTTTGTATGAATGAAGTACAGCAATTCAACATGTTGTTTCCATATCCTCGTAGACTATTGAGGGTACCAGATAGAATAACTTCCTCGAGTAATTCTTCGGCTTTCTGTAACATTTAAAAATGTAGATTTTGAACTAAAATCAGGAAAAATGGAGTAAAGGAACTAAACTCCTCTATTAGATACATAACAAAATGAGTAGTTTAGAATCCAATCTTTGATGCCATATTTTAACTAACTGAATGTCTAAATCAAAGAGGGCTATTCGCTTGAACTAAAACCTTCTGAACTTCCCCATTCACTCGGAATTCTCCATCAAATGGAACAATCTTGCATACATGGTCCCCAGCCTTAAATGCTTCTCCATATGTTCCCTCACCAATCTTGACAACATCCATGGGGTTACTGCATTGACCAAATTTTAATATGAAAAGACTAATTTCAAGTGAGGAAAAGGCAAATTAAGATATGTCCAAGGAAGCATTATAGATACCATAGAAGCAAATAAAAGTAGTAAGAATGTACTGTAAGTCTCAACATTAAGGTTTTTCTGTACTGTTATAATGCTACAGTTAAGATTATTGAGAGAAACACAAACCAGGACTTTGATACGACATCAAGCAGTGTAAAGGGATGGGACTGCCCACATGCTGATAGCAGAACCAAAAAGGGATCCCAGGAGTGACAATCCAATGAACAGGGCTGCAAAGTCAGAGAAAGTTTTTCTACTTTAGCTTCAATACCCTCACTGTCATCCTCTGCAAAATCAAAGTGCTGAATGCTTCTTTCTGAACCAGAAGGGGACTTCCTTCGGGAGATATCTTCAGAAATGAAATCAAGAAATCCCTTGTTGGAAGAATACAGTCCTAACTGCAATTCTCTGCATGCACTCTCGGAAGCTTTGAGAGTTGAAATGTTTCCCAATTTATGAGTGGATTCCTTCCTTGATGTTGGGGTTTCTAGTATCTTAGCAAGTGAGGCAGGTGGTGCATAATTATTATTTAGCTTCATAGAAAGCAACCACTTCCGCAATATTGATGAGAGATGTGGTACTGCAACATGATTTGATTGGGTAGACATGGTCCATGTGCTAGATCTCTTAGGAGAGGGGCTTTCCTCCATTAATTCAAAAGAATCAACCTCTTCAAAATATGCCTTCTCCTTGTCAAAATTGGGACGTTCTACAGCTTTTCCCTGGAAAGGAGGCAGATATAGATGGAAGGAAACAGAAAGGTGATATTAGAATGTGAGCTTCATTGGGCTTATGTATCATTCACACACCAATTTAAATTACGAGTTCAATTTCCAGGAATCAAAGAAAAAAACGATCTTTTGCATGAAAGTTCAATTTTAATGTGTTTCCACAATCCACGGCAAATACATAACTAGATACAACATTTAACACGAACAAATTACATAGTGGCCTACATAAGTTGAAGTCAAATAGATGGATATAATCCTAATTCCTACCCTTGGAAGAGGCGGTTTTGCTTTTCGTCCAGGCTTCCTTTTATGAGGTTTCACAAATGCTGCAGCAGCAATACTGGTCCTCCCTCTGTCAGTCAAAATCAAAGCTGAGTTGTAGAATTCAATAACTAAGAGCAATTAAGTTTCCAAGCGCATATACAAATTGAAATACTGGTCTGGCCACAGCAAAGTAGCTATAAACTTGACATAAAAGCTCAGCTATGCCAAACAAACTAAAATCCTAAACCCAACTTAGACCAGAAGATAATAGTCCTATCATCACAGAAATCTCTTAAACAGAAACTTGTTAATTGACTTCACGTTTAGAAAAATTAAAGCTTAAAACCTGATGGAAAGGGACCGGTTCCGAATGCTACGATTAGGAGGGACTAAACTCGGGCGATATTCGACATCTGAGCAAGTGCTGGAATCCCTTCTGAAAGAAACAATAGAAAGTTAGACACCAAAACATTTCAACCAAGAAAAGAAGCGAATTTCTAAAACCTAAAAGAAAATAAAACTGATGACCTCTCTACATTTTGTTGAGTTTTAGTTTGAGGGTTTCTCCTCTGATAAACCACGTCAATTTTGGGTTCTTTGGACTTGGCAGAACGCTGGGCGCACTCTTGTTGCTCGGAAGCTATGAGCTCCGCCCACAAATCACCTGCATCTCCATAAATATGCAAAAGAATTGATCAAAGAAGTAGAGACAAGACTGTTTTGCTGTTCTTAAATCTTTGTATACCTGCACGAGAAGACATGGTATGAAGCTGCGATTCTTCTCCCAAAATTTTGAATTTGAGGTGTGGTTTGAATGTGGGATGCGTTAACGTTAAACTGTTCGTGTCATTTGAGAAAGACATACTCCGTAAGAGTTTTGAAATTTTACAAATAAATGAAGTAATCCGAGTTTATTGCAAGATGGTAGATGTGCATTCTTATTTTTGTTTTAAAACTTAGGCTCTCTTCAGTTTAACTTATTTTTTCTAATCTGATCTGATATTTTATAGTTCTGATCTGATTTGATTGAATCTGATCTGATTTGATTGAATCTGGTCTGATCTGATTGGATCTGATCTCATCTGATTGGATCTGATGTGATTAATTATGATTTGATTTAAAATTCAAATCAATAATTTGATTTGGGTTTATAATAACGTTTGAAAATTATAATGATAATTCATATTATAATATAATCAATATTTTTTATTTTATAATTATTTTTAATAAAATAAAATTAGTTAATTTATATATTAGAATAATCATTCATACAGTATTTTAATGTAATAATATTTTTTATTTTATGATTATTGTTTGTGAAATAAGAATATTTATTTAATATTTTGATAATTAGTTCATACATACATTAGAATAAATATTTAATTTATATAAAATCAATACAGAGAAGAGATAGTATTTTTATTAAAATATCTCATCCTTATAAAAGATCAAAACTTTAGAAACTCAAATTACAGGTAGCAATAAAAATGTATTTTAAAATTAGAATTAGATTGACATTGTCAACGTATTTTAAAAATAATTTTTTCGACGTCTAATAATTAAGGATTAATTTCTCAGTTTTCTATTTAACTTGTTTCTAAAGTTTATTCTTTTTCATTTTTAAGAATAATAATAATAATAATAATAATAAGAACAACAAGAATAATAATAATAATAATAATAATAATAATAATAATTCTTTATGCGATCTGGTCTGGTCTGGTCTAATCTGATTGGATTTGATCTGATCTGTGATCTGATCTGATTTGTTCTGATCTGATCTGATTCGATCTGATCTGATCTGATCTAATTTTAATAAGAATAAAAAAAATAAGAAAAAATAAGTTGAACGGAACAGGGCCTTAGGTCTTTGTTCCTCATTGTTTTCATATTACTACGTCAATGGCCTTTTGGAAAACATATCTTTCAAATTTAGATGAACTAGTATTTTGACCAGTGCGACGCACGGGGTTAAACAAAATTTTTGTCGATTTCGATTTTTTCAGTGTAATACATTCTCCGGAATCAAGTAATATATTTCTAACACAATTTTTAATCAATGCACAACAACGACAAAAGTAGAATAAATCATATTTGAGGAAATGAAAGTGTACTCGAAAAAACCTTATTTAATTCCAATTTTTTGAAAGACTTTAGGGTGCACAACGTTTTTGGTATGGTTGTAAAGGTTTTCATTGTTATCTAGAACCAATATTTTAATCATGTCTTTGCCTTCATTCGTAAAAAAGTAACATAAAGCTAACCATGACTAAATACTAAATTGGTTAAAAATAATACAACAAAAGACAATGTCTGACCTTAACTTTTGTTAATAGTCATAGTAAAATATACTCCCTCCTTCCCAAAAAAATTTACACGTTTCAAAAAAATTGCGTCCCACAATCCTTTACCCATTTCTATTAAAAAACTACTTTTACCCCTTACTTTTTCAAACACTACCTATCACATCATACCTTTTTCCTAATAATCTACACATCACATCATACTTTTACCCATCATATCAAGGGTATTTTTCGAAAGTCAACACAAAATTATCATTCCCTTAATTTCTACTTTAGTCAAAACGTACCCATCTTTATGGGACCGAGGGAGTAAAACTATTGAGAATTATTTTCTCTAGAATTTCTTAGGTAGTCCTGAATCAGATGGTATCAAATTCATTCGGGGTATGTAAATCTTTTTCTCAATTGATTTCCTGAAACTTCAATTGTAGTGATAATGTTCTTTCTCAACTTCTAAACGATTAATCTTCTATCATTACACAATCCAGATATTTAGTCAATGTTCTTCAATGACATGGTGAGTACCCCCTTTTTAAAAACTATTTTGTGGTTTAGGATCCCCGAATATTTGATTTAATTAAAAAAAAACTAAAGTGTTATCCAATCGTCTTCAACAGTTACATTTAAATCGGCTTTGCATAAGGGATATGAAAAATTCATTACCATTCAACAAACTTGAGTGCGGGTGCTAATAGTGCACTATCCTAAAAAAAATCCATGTTCTCTGATAGGTTCGGATAAGTGAAGTCCACTATAACTCTTGAGAGGATAACTTATTTCAAGAATCAAGAATTCAGAAGGATTTAATTTCAATGTCAGCAGTTTCATCGATCACTTGTCTAAGTTTTCCATCTTTGACTTTGACTATCCAATCAGAAAAAGCTTATGTGTCCTTGTCTGTGTAAGAGAGTGTAGATTAATGCAATCTCATTTTTTTGGTCAACGTATAAATTTTACAATACAACTACATTTGTGAGGAATTAGTGGTAGCACCAACAATTTCCTCTCTCAAAGCTATGAGTAAAACTGAAAGAATTTGGATAAATCTTCTTTGAGTACAAATGTTTTCCCTGTGAATGGTTCATTTATGAATTTATTATTGGAGAACCTCATTACATCTCTCATTGTGTAATCCAATGTCTCAAAAGAAAATATATGCATCGTAGATGATAAATCTCATATGGTTATACTTACTTGTTGGATTAGGTCTGCTTTCAGACTCCATTGTTTGTTGTCATAAAATGAGCACTCGGTTAGCACCAAAGGGATTAAAAATCTTGACTCTCCTTCCCCTAGCAAAAGCAATGCTACAATGTAATTGGATGCGACATTCAGAACAACCTTACCATTTGACCTTAGAGAAGCAGATAATGACTTCTAGAGAAATATTTTTCCAGTTCCACCGTAACCATGCACAAAAAAGAACTCCCTCTTTCAGCTATCACGACTTCCATTATTTCATTAGATATATTCCAATGATCTTCATTCATTGTAGATAGATATCCTCTAAGATCAAATGACAACTTTTCTTAGTCATAGTTCAACTTCTCTATCAAAAAACTATTTTGATATCTATTAAGTTGATTGTCATCTCCAAATGGCATGCACTTGAATTCCTTTAAAGGTCGTCCATTTCAATTAAACAACTTTTCAATCTCAATTAGAAATAAATTCTTTAGGTCTTCTCGTGAGATTATAAGCTCTACAAAAAAAGAATTATTTGTTTCTATGCAGTGATCAATTAAAGAGTTTTGTTTTCATATAATGTGTTTCAGATGGATTAATACATTAAAAAACTATCTTTATATTCAAGTACCTTGATTCCACAATATTCTCAATCGATCAAATAAAATTCCATTCACCAAGAGTTCCTATAATTTTTTCAAAACAATTTATTGGTGACTCATGGTACGTGGACAAACAACATTTTAGCATATTCCTAAATCCTAACTTAGCAACCTCTTTTATACCTTCAATAAATTCTTTATCATCGGTTAATAACCCCAATGCTTGACATGCTGCCTCAAATACGCTATGTAGAACATTGTTAACTCTGCTCAAGCTCTAATAGCTTGCACATCCTCGCTGGACAGTTAATAGTACAACTCTCTGGTTTTCGTAAGCACGTATTGTAGTCTGCCTATTGATGACCTTTGTTGCATCGGAACCATTTTCGCACTTTAATTTATGGTTGTACACAAAAAAATCGGGAAATTCTTTGCATACATCAAATTTTATCCCGCATCATATTGTGTATTGGAAATCATCCAAGCTTCAAACATTGAAGCTTTGTCAACATTTTCTTTGACAATATCTTTTAGCTTTTTTTATCTCTAAAGGTTACAAATTTTAGCCATGGGAGATGAAAATTCAACCTCGAGTGCATCCACCATATTAATTTACATAATAATGATCTCTAAAGGTTACAAATTTTAGCCATAGAGTTAGTTAATACACAAAGATAATTGTTTTATTATCATCTTCAAAGAAATTAAAACATGTGTTATAGAAGATAGATCCATTTGTCTCTTATGCACTTAAAAGCATGATGAATTGTGTAATTATTCTCGGATCGGAGCACTGTATAGATTTTTTTGGGGAAAAATTTACTGGAAAAATTTAATATTTAATTCAGAATAATAAAAATATCATTTGTCACATCATAGAGTACATTCTTTCTCGAACGTGTTCGATGATGCAAGGTTATAGTCGATGACAAACTCTCTCTTTTTGTATGTGTAATAACCATCATAAATTAAGTATTGTAAATATTTTTATCAAAAAACTTTAAACATAAAAAGTTTTATTATCCACTAATATTTGTTACATTGCAGTTGACAGTCAAATGAATAAATAAGCAAGAATATTACCATGGCCAGCTAATGCTAGGGGCAAGGTGGTCATAGGTACAGGGCCCAATATTAGAAGGGGCCCTAGTTTTTATATATAAAATATTATATATATATATATATTTATTTATTTATTTATTTATTTGTATAAAAAACGAAAAAAATAAACCTACTGCAAAAGCAATACATATGTACATGTTTGCTTTACTACCTACCAAAATAAAACCTAAGCCCACTGAACACTGCCTAGGAAGGAGGATTAAAATTTACTGTGTAAAAAAATAGATCTACGGTAATAAAAATTCTCAAACCTCTCAATCGCCTCCTACGGACCAAAATCAAAGCAATGAAGTTTCCTTTGATTTTGAAGAGTATGAATTTGATATTTCATTATTCTTATTAATATACAATAACAACCTAGTTGAATCTTACTACAGTAGGGTCTGGACATTATTCTTATTAATATAATGTTAATTATTGTTAAATAAATTAATGAATAGACTTTATTTTATTATAACACAATGGCTCATTTTCTACCTGTCGTATACGGCCCCTCATTTCTTAAAGACGGCCTTGAATATTATTTATTTATTTTGACATAGATGTCAAAATAGGCATGTTTTTTAATTTTCAAGAATTTTAATTATTACTAATTACACTTATAATAATTAATTTCTTACACATAAATACTCACATACTAAGTCATCATCATTTTAAAAATTATTAATGAAAAATAGTAATTTTTTGGAACATATCTATAAATTTTTACAAAGTTAGTAATAGAAAATAATAATTTAAAAATAGAAAATACTAATTTTAAAATGGAACATACTTGTTATTTGACTTAGAATTTTTTTAATATATACGATATAAAATTATTGCTCTATGAAATAAACATGCCCATAAAAATTCCTCTACTTTTATATATTTGTTTCTCTTTTTTCAAAGTTGGAAAATCTCTCTAATTAGTATTAATTCAAAGTAAAAAAATATTCATATGTAAGTAATTTTAGTCCTACCAATCTATCGGTTCTTAGAATAAATTTATTTATTTTGATTATTGTTTTTGAATATGAGTTCTTTTTTCAATTTCAAAATATATTATTTAATTTAAATATTTTCCAACAATGAATTAAGATATATAAGTTTTTAAACGCGATTATGCTGAGAAATTTATATGTAATAAATACAAAATTTAATTTCCATTGAATAAGTTTTTTTGTTAACTAATTCTTTAAATATAACTCGATGACTTGGCATTCTAACATGTTAAAAAAATTGTCTAATGAACGCGCCACATGTCACAATTCTAGAAGCCCAACTTTCAAATTTTATATATAAAGCTTATATTTTTAAAATTGAAAAGGAATTTTTATACAATCTTTTTTTAATTATGAAATATTATAAAGGGTTATGTGAACTTGTTAAAAAAAATCATCCTTGCTTGGATGGCTAGAAACTCAACCAAATTTCTAGGAGGTTTTGGGTTCACACCTTTAAAAAGGGGGGGGGGGGGGGGGG